TTTTCAGCACTTACTCTGTAATTTGGATCCTGAGTTGGATTCTTCACATATCACATCTATGCATCTATGAAAAATGGGGCTGAGACTCAAATTTGGAAGGGAGGTTCTTGCTTCTATCTTTGACCTCTTTACTGCTTCCCGTTGACACAAAAGGGAGAAAAAGGTTAAATGACTTCTCAAATTAAAGCAGTAATAATTAACTACTGGCATTGTTTGTGATTTTCCGACTCTGTGAGCTAATGAGAGAGAAATTAATGCTTAGCAGCAGGAGTTCCTGATACTCAGTGCCAAATGCTAAATGTGCCAACAAGTTAATTTTAGTTTTAAGTACTTCACTTAAGTCTTTTTGAACAATGAATTAGAATAGGGGTTGTATTCATGTGGCACATGTACTAATTTTAATTTGTAGAAGGGTGTGGGTGTGCGTGCACATGCACTCTCAAAAGCATCTATCTATCTATCTATCTATCTATCTATCTATCCTTGTGTGTCCAGTTTGTTGTGTGTCCAATAGAATAAAGAAGTCTATTCTGTTCTGTTTTATTTTCTATCTTATGAAGAGAAGCAATGTGTGTAGTACTTCAGTACTGTCACTGACTAAAAGACAGAACTACAATTGATCTAATAACCAGTTTCAGCCCTATTAAGAAACTATAGTTCTGGTTATGAGAACAGACTTGGATCTTAGACTCTTCCTATTGTAAGCATGTCAAAAGTTTTAAACAATTTAGTTTCCAAATTGACCACAACGCTCTATCAATGGACTGATTAAATTCAGGGCACTGACTCAACTCTAAAAGCAAGCAGCTCTGACTTGGCTGTTCTACTTCACACCAGAAATGCTAGCAGAAGTTCTTTTGTGAATGAAGGAAAGAAGTTCTCAAAATGGATATTTTGGCACAGTTTGCTTGCACTGAAGCCTTTAAAATTAATAAGTACATTAGTGTTTCATGATGCTCAAAGCAAAGCACCCCTTTGAGGTTTTGCATAGCTCTGTTTTTATACAACCTTGACATAATCTGTTACACTGGGAGAATAGATCATACACCTCAAAGTCACTGAGTCTTTGGTTTCTCTCACAGTATAATGGAGCAGGAAAAGGTAGTTTGAGATCTCAAGGTTTCATACACTCCCAGAGCTTCCAACAATTACTAAAAATTTGCAACACAGCACACTATCCTTTTGATTAGGAAATAGTGAAAACTTGAGTGTAAGTCCTAAATTTCACAGGTTTTTTTCAAAGAAGACAATTAAAATCTCCTGTCCTCCCCACTCTCCAAAGGGGAGACAGGAAACCTTGACCTTGCATGTGTAAGTTTTGTAGCTGTAGTCACTTTTATCATTTTTCCATGAATTTGGGCCATGCTTCCAAAGAACTTTAAATATCTGGCTATCAAAAGTTTTCTGCTCTCCGTAATATAACAGTACCACAAACTCCTCATATTTCTTTTTTAATAGTTTGATTAGATTAATTAGTTGGGTCAAAAAAATCTAACCTTTTGAAATGCAGTTGCCCATTTATTAACACTTGGAAATATCTGATATTGCTTGAGCCTTTACACAAAGATTGTATTGGCCAGTCTACATCACATCACCAGTCCCTTCCTCACTGCTCAGTCATGCAGTCATGAACATTGAAGGCAAAGAGGGAAAAAACCTGGAAAAATCTCAGTATTGCAAGTTCTGATTTTTCATAGAAATTTAACATTTGCCATTATTTGTGTCTGCCTGATGAGTGCATCCTCCATTCCAGGAACATGTTCCTCATCACATATCAACCCACAACATGGGTGACTGGGGAAGACACTTCCCCCCCCCCAAATAAAACTAAGATAAGGTTTAATGTTTGTATGACCCACTGATCCCATCCACAATCCCTTCAAGTATGTTGTGCTAATACAATCTCCACTGAGATACTCTGATATTCCCATCTTTCTATAAGCAGACAATTGCTACATAAGTGGATTTTCCAGATATCTTTTCCATTTGGAATTATGTCCAAATAACTAGGATTGGGAGTCCAATCCCAGTTATTTCAGGATGGAGCAAGGGCAGGAGCAGGAAGCCTTTTAGGGAGATCGCTCATAATGTTTCCCCATTGTAATTTCAAATGGATGATCGGCTTTTCCAATCTGCCTCCAAATTAGGGAGAGTGGTCAACGAGCTATAACTTGAAAACCACTGACTTAAGATGCTAAAACACAATATCCAAGGATTAGATTGGCTTAGGATAATTTTCTCTCTTTTTGTATATGTGTGTCTATCTGTATGTCTGTCTCTTTCTCTGTGTGTCTCTCTTCTGTTTCCCTTCATTGGAAATCTCTTTTGATAAATATCTTGATAGGAGAGAGAAAATTAAAATCATTCATGTGGCAGAGACTTTTGACTTTATATAATAAGCACTGATGTGCTGACAGAGAAAATTTGTAATGTACCAAACACTGATTTGCTATATCAGTGGGGGTTGGGGTATATTTCCTATAGCAGATATCTGCTCAGTAATTGATTGATTTATTATGTCTATCAATAACCACATAGATTTTCTTATGGATGATCTGGTTCCAACTTGGTCCTCTAAGTCTTCCAACAGTGCATGCACTGATGATGTACCAAATTTCATCCACCTTGCTGCTTAATTGTCTTCTTTTTTTTCTCTTACTTTCCATCTTTCCCAGCATTATAAATATCTCCAGAAAACTGGGTCTCCACATAATATATCCAAATGTTGGGTAATAGAGATTTGTATTTAATATAGTAAGACTGATTTAGAAGGCAAGCTTCTGGTTTTTAAATAACTCCAGGCCTAGTTAGTTTTGATGAGAGTAAGCAAAAGAACCATAACTAATTTAATAACTCATTCACTTATTGCTATAGTAAAGCCAAAGTAAAATTTGCACATCATATACTTTGTACATTTCATATACAGCCAATTTTTAGAGCATCCATTTTTTTCTAAAATTGAAATATGGTAGCAATCTTAATGCAGCAAGCCGGTAATTGTGCAGTTTTTTTCCACACAAAGCCATGCTCAGTTGTTTTTGCAAAATCAAAACATAGCCAAAATCTTTATGGACATTCCTATTTTGTTGTGCGGCAATAGATTACAATCCAGTGGAGGGGTCTATGACAAGTCACTGCAGCTAACTTGCCATGGCCAGCTCAACACGGCCAATTCGCCATGGCTAACTTGCCATGGCCAACTCACTGCAGGACAACTCGCCATGGCCATCTCCCCATAGGACAACTCACTGTGGGACAAGAGTTACACTAATATCAAAGAAATGGTGGAACAGAATCATTAAAGAAAGAATGCAAAAGGAGGGACAGAATGAAATGTAAATGGCAAAAATTAAAATAATTTTATTTATTTTAAATAATTAAATAGAATTGTTATATTGTCCCACAGCAAGTTGTCCCACAGCGAATTGTCCACTGAGTTGGCCATGGCGAGTTGTCCCATTCCCTCCAGTTGAAACTCTCAAAGAATAAATAGAGGAGAAGCCACTCTTGACTTCTCCTTGACACAAATTGATTGAAGACGACTGTAATCTGGCCTTACTGCCAGTGAACATTCAGAAAGAATTATTTAGTACAGCTAAATCTACAAGGCCTAGTCTTTATTTAGCACCTGTCTTTCTAAAACACCTGAGGTTTTTTTTGTTTTTGTTTTGTTTTGAATGAAAGATGTGATGTCAGCACTGAGCACAAGCAACTGCTGCTAAAAACATTAGAAAGTAATATCTGTGAATTGTCAAATGGCTAAATTAAACATTGGGGTAGCAAAAGGTCCAATCAAAACAATAAAGGAAGCCAACTAGGTTTTATCCTTTTTGAAATACTTGTTCGCTTGTCATTCTGCACATGGGGCAAGTTCGTTCCAGTTGAAATAACAATGTCTGATGTTGCCCACAGTTTTGATGGTTACATTATCAATCTAATGACTGTTGCACTCTTGAGACATTCCCATTATAGTTAAAAAAAATTAACAAAAGCTGGCTACTTACTGCCTGACTATAGCATTGGGTACAGACTATTACATGACATAGCGTTGAACTTGTATATATGATCTCTTACAGCTCCTCATATACTGTTGCTGTTCTTGGCAGCTTACCTAAGCTGTACAATAAATCTCAAAATGAAAAAAAAAAATTTTGGCTTCAAGTCGTACACCCTGCCATGACATTAGATTACAGAAAGCTGCTCTCCTTTTAGACATCCTTTTACAAACAGAGCATCCATAATTTATGATTTCGCTATAAAATTCTTGCAACACTACGCCAAAAGTATGGCTTCCCTCTAATTAAATGCTCTCAATAGGAAAAAGGTGAAACTGATGTGCAAAACATCCAGCTGTACACATTACAAAACATCTTACTGTACACATTACAAAACAACTAGCTGTACACATTACAAAACATCTAGCTGTGCACATTACACATGGGGGCCTAATCCTCGTCATGGAATAACAGAATAACAGAGTTGGAAGGGATCTTGGAAATCTAGTCCAACCCCCTGCTCAGGCAGGAAACCCTATACCATTTCAGATAAATGGTTGCCCAATCTCTTTTTTTAAAACCTCCATTTTGGACACCCAAATTTCTGGATCGCTTGCTTGCCCACAATAAGAAGGCACATAAAATAAGGGATTATTTGCCTGTTAACTTTCAATGTGTGTGTTAAAGAGCAAACAATCTTTTTGGAACTCCATTCTTTTAAGCACGAACTGTTAGGTGAAACAAACGAGCTTTCTGTAACTAGTGATTAAATATGTTTAAGATTCTTATTAATCTATCATTGTTAGTCAGGAAAAGACAAAAAATGGAGATTACAGATTGTCCTTCCACTAAATGTAGAGTGAGGGTTTAATACTCATATCTCTGTAAAGTATTTCACTATTTTTCTGTGTCCCTAAAATTTATAATTTCTGAAGTTTTGCAGATGATATACGTGATGGCTGTTCTATATAATAATATCTGGGGTTTTTTTTTGTTTCAATATAGATTTGGTCCCGGATTAGTGATCTATTGGTATGGATTTATCGAGGAACTAGACTGTCATCGCAACCGGGGTATCTTGCTCAAAGACTGTTTCCCTACTGATATTGCTGTCCTTTGAGGCAGCTATGAGGCTCAGCCATGAAGGTGGAAAAGGCAAATCCGGAAGCAATTTTATTTTCCTGAAGTATAAACTACTGGCAACATCTGTCCTGAACTTCATCTGAACTCTTACTGGCTGGGATCGCCCTACCACCTCTTTAGACAAACACGTCAAGAGTCTCTGTTTTACTTCAACCCCCTGCTGATGCAAGCAGCCAAAAAAATACCGACACAGCCCAAACATTATCAGCATTTCTGCCTCTGTCAAACAGTTTATAGATAGCTGTAATCTTTCTTCCTTCCGGATGGCTTTTCTTTGCACTTTCAACAAAAGAAGAAATGTAGAGGTCAAAAGGTGTGGTTTTCAGTTTTCCTCCCTGTAGCAGAATCACCTTAAAAACAGAAAATGTCTTCAGTCCCAAAATCTTTTCCCCAGTAAATGTTAAAAATCTTGCTAATGCAGAGGTAATTAATGTCAATCTCCATTTTCCCAGGCTCATTTTTGGGCCAAAACTGGGTAGAAAAACAAGTCACCCATTGGTGCATTATTCTAAGCCTGAATTTCTTGGCTTTTAGGGTATTAGCAAGGCAGTTGACACTTCTATAATAATTTTAATTCCTAGTATATAGTGTTGAAACTGAAAACAAAATACTGTAGAAATGCTTTATCTTTAAACAAAAAGTTTTGCATATCATTTCTTGAATTAAAACATGGGCATGTTTATGGATTGTAGAAGATGTAATGGACATTTTAATGCTGATGTTTTAAAGCAAAATAAAGTGGACCATTGTTTGAGCCTTGGTCTTATCCTGATCATCTGTTTTGCAAAGATATTTTTAAAACAAAATTAACTGCTCTTTAGAAGGCCAGATCCTGAAGTTGAAACTCAGGTACTTTGACCACCTAATGGGAAGGATGGACTCACTGGAGAAGAGCCTAATGCTCAGAAAGATTGAGGGCAATAGAAGAACAGGACGACAGAGAATGAGGTGGCTGGATGAAGTCACTGAAGCAGTAGGCGTGAGCTTAAATGGACTCCAGAAGATGGTAGAGGAACGTTGTCCATGGGGTCGCGATGGGTCAGACACAACTTTGCAACTAACAACAACAAATTTCTTTAGACAACATATTGTGGACATGGCCTATAAAGCAGAGCTCTGGACCTCACATTTTTGATCCACATATTAAAGGTCATGTTCCTAAGCATAGAAAATTATAGCAAAAAAAAGACATATACTCAAAATTAGCTAGTTGGCTTATATAGCAGAGATTAGCAGACCAGGATTACATTTTATAACTACTTCAGAGGAGAGGTTTCCAATTTAATGACTTTTCAGGCCATTTTTCATTAAAATCCTTTGATGACGGGGTTCACACTTATTTGTATGATTTGATAGGGTAAACTAAACTTCTACATATTTTTGTCATTTAAAATTCTTCTCAAGTTTGTTACAATTCCAGGCTCTTTAAAGTCATTTCCATCCTGCACACTATTATGTGAAGCAGAAGTATTCATTCCTATCAGGAATTCTATGCGAAATTTATTTTAATGTCTAGATTGGTATACATTCTAGATCATGTATTCGTATCTCTGATACACATATTAGATTCAGTTTTTCTGCTAGTGACATATACAGAATTCAAGTAAAATATTAGAGAAACAATAGTGATTTCTAATATGCCATCTAACCTATATGCAACAGAAGATATCCATTTCATAGAAGATAAACTAATGAGGCCACAATATAACTTACTCAACAATTTGAATTTGAATCTAGAAAGAAGTGAGATTCTGAATCCCGAATTTCTCTTGCTTGCTCGTTCACTTCCTTTTTTCTATCTTTTTCCTTCTGTCTTTCCTTCCCTCCCCCACAAGCCATTCAAGGAGCATCTTCCCAAATATCTGTTTCATCTGGAATCACTTTTCTTACATCCTTTCTTTTTCATACACATTTTTCCCATTTGTCCAAACATGTGCACGCCAATATGGAATCCAGAATGTTCAGAGGAAAAAGGGGAAATTAAAGGCTACCACTTCACTTTAGCTCATGTCCAACTACCTAGCATGTCTCTTATGATTATATTCTAATATTTTCTTTTTAAGAAATCCTATTTGCAAAAACTCACTTTTTTAAAAAAAAAAAAAACAAACACCCAGAAATCTTGGTAAATACCAGAGATGTCTGTGAGCATTATGGCAACCATGTATGTTTTGTTAAATACTTCATGCCTTTATATATCCATTAGATCATTGTGCCTAGCTGCGAGTTACTGAGTTTTTCCAGACACCAATTCTTTCAAATAAATATTTTTGCTTTAAAAAAAAAGAAATAATCCTTCTCTGTCTTTTATTAAAATAAACAGCCTCTTTCCCACCCAGCAATACTACCCCACTATATCTTGGCTACTTGGCAGAGATGACCCTGCGATTTTTGCCATTTCTTTGGAAGATCAAACTTTTCATCAAAGCCTTATTTCAAACAGCTGTAAGTCAGCAAGTTATTTGTATTCAACATGATGCAATGGGCTGCTTGATTTGCTGGTACTTAAAAATGACAGAAGAAATCTGCAGTGTGTAACTTATTGAGGAAGCCAAGAAAGCAACATTTGGGTTGTTTTAATGGCAGGCAACAGGGGAAAGACTGAAACAGTCTTGCAGCATTGTCCTAACAGAACACTGAAAAGGCTTTAAAGATAAAATTGGATTTGCCTGAAGTGGTACAACTGCATTTTGTTTTGTGGAAGCTGCAACAGCAGTTTACACGATAATCTAGTGTTTCTTTTATGCTCTCCTCCACACTAAAATAAGTGAAATTAAATGTATATACAATATGTTGAAAATCCTCCTCAAGCCTAATCTAATCTTTGTGGGATATTTGGGGATTTCATATTAATTTTATTTTCAGGAAAGATAAATAAAATGAGATGCCCATAATTTCGTATATACATAGCATGATGAGTTTAAAATAATGATCTTATTTTTTTGACTTTATACAGACTCTTTTGGAATTTTTAAAAATAGAATAAAACAAAAGTCATAAAGACTATTGAATTAAATTCTGCATGTTCTAGTAATGGTTTGCCCAATTACACAATAGTTTTACACTATAGTTTTAATTGACGTACACAACTATAAACAGAAATTCACGAGCTGCAAAGGTTGGATTCAAACAATGTGCTAAACAAAACAAAACAAAGTTAGGACAATTGAATCCTGAGAGATAAGATTCCAGGCTACCTAGAACAGTGTTTCTCAACCTTGACAATTTTAAGGCATGTGGACTTCAACTCCCAGAATTCCACAGCCAGCATTGCTGGCTGTGGAATTCTGGGAGTTGAAGTCCACATGCCTTAAAATTATCAAGGTTGAGAAACACTGACCTAGAAGGCATCAGATGGAAAGACTAGACTTGGAGATCAATCAGTTTTAAGCTGACAAATAATATTTTACTTAGTATTTTACACTTCCCATCATTTATACTACTGATTTTCATTTCCAGTCGATGTGCCCATAAGTTGACATTAAATAGTAAATAGACTAATATTAATTTTTGAATTTTTAAAATTATACAACAAGACCAAAATTGCTTTCCAGACAGAAAATGCATCACTCAGTCAGTACTTGGCAGACTTAGTACTAGATAATAGAATATGTTCCATATAGTCCAGTCTGCATAAAATAGACTATTTGGGTTATGGAAAGGTCACCTTTTACCAAAAAATTCACAGGTCACGGGAATTATTCAAAGCTTTTTCTCCTGGGTATACTAAATATTATTTGAACATTTACTATTAAGAGCATGCCAGGATTCAAAAGATTAAATAAGATACATTTATGAACTAAATAATAAATAAAGCAGATTTAGTTCCTCTTGCATTTTTTTATTTTCCTGTTATTGTTATATATACGACTCTTATACAAAGAGCAGCTTATGTCAGCTACTATAAATTATGTTTTGAGTACAATAGTAATCCAGTAAAATTATTCCAAAATCTGATCAAAGCAACTCAACACATTTCCTCTCCCTCTCCCCAACTTTACTATATTACAGGAAGAACTTCATTTTGCAATTTTAATGGAGTCCGTTTAACTAAGAGTTTGGGGTGAAAGCCTAATAACATGAATCCAATAGGATGGAAGTCCCTTTCTTAAGCTGAAAAAGTGTAATATCAATTGATTGATTTAAAGGCAGTTAAAAAGAAAGCTTTCTATCATTTTTATACCAATCTATGCTTATAATATCTGGTTATAAGTAATATCAAAGAGAATGTCAGCTTTTAAGGTCACACATTGAAATGCCTCTCTCAAGACAAACCCTATCTTGGACTTTTATCAAGTATATAAATGCAGGATGTGGCTTCCCAGATGTTTTTTACTAAATATATATAGTTATACATTTTTTATTAAATGTATATAGAATTCAATAACCATATTCTTTGAATTCTAAATATGCTTCCAAATATGAAATAAGAATGATGAATTAGTATTATAAGGATAATACTTGTAGTAATAAGCAATATTACAATTCTTTTGTAAAATCTGCTTGCTTATTAACTGACCAATTTAAGAAAGTACAATTAAAAGCTAACACAGTCCTGCTAGCCAGAAATCTTCTGTCCAGTACACAAAGTGTATACTTGGAATGGGATTTCTTGGCTGCATCTCCAAGGACTGCTAAATATACAGAACTAAAATAAATGACCAAATGCTTGTTCTTTGGATCTAGAATACTGAGACCTGGGAGCAAGCCTTTTAAAATTTTAAATTATTGAGTGACTTGAAAGACCGTTGCTTAGAGTTACCAAGGAAACCTGGAGAACAGAATATAACCAAAGAAGAATAAAATGTAACCTCCAGAAACTATAGGAACTCTGTAAGAGAAATTGAATTAAGAAGGTATTAAGAATGAGGATTGCAAGAAATATCAAAATATCAAAAACAAACAAACAAAAAGGGTGGACAATGGGGGAAAAGGGAAAGACAAGAAAATGCAGGTCAAATCATGTAAAAACTGGAGAATTAGTAATGGGTGGTACTGAAGAAAAATGGTGCCTTGCCTAGTTATTGTTATATCAGTAGGAGAATGAGGGAACTACAGCTGAGAATAGGCAAGGAGATAGTAACAGAGAATTTAGCTAATTTATATGAATTCATGTCTCCGGGGCCAGATAGATTACAACCTGTGTGCTAGCAGAGTTGATTTTAGCAGCCTTCTGAATGGTCTTTGAGAACTCCTGAAATTCCAAAAGACTGGATAAGCGCATTTTCCATCTCTACATTCAAAAAGAAGAAGCAGGATAATTCAGCAAACAATATCTATCAGGCCTATCAGTATTGTGTTTATAATGGGAAAGATCTTCAAACAGATTATTGGATAATCATGCTATAATTAACAGAAACAGGAATGAATTTGTCACAAATTGTGCCAGAGTAAGTTTATTTCTCTCTTTCATAGAGTGACCAACAAAGGGGCATGGGAATGCTAAAGAAACAGGGTACCTGGACCTTAACAATGATTTCAACAGTGTCTCATGATATTCCCCTTCATAATTGGTAACATATTGGCTGTATGATACAGTTGGATTCAGAATTGGCTGAATAACCACACCCAAAAAGGATTCATTAATGATTCCATTTCAGTATGGAAGAAAGAATGAGGTAGAGCGCCCCAGGTTCTGTTCTAGGTGCTCCGCTATTCAACATTTTTGTCAGTGGTTTGAATGAGGAAATAGAAGAGAGGTTTAACAAGTCTGATCTTTAACAGGAGCACAGAGTTTAAATGATAACAAGAAATTAATCTTAATTACTT